TCCCAGAGTCCTGACAGTGCTACTATCGATTCTGCCAGTGCTGCCCAACCTCCACCCTTGGCACCATGGGCTCGTGACCCCGGAAGCGACTCCCAGAAGGGACCGAGTATCAAGGCCATTCAGGAAGCCGAGGCTCAAGAGCGAGCCGTCAAGGACGAGGCCAAGCGTCGCCGCTTGGCTCTAGAACAGGAAGCTCTTGCTGCCAGGGAGCGCGAGAATGTCAGCGTTGTCACACCAGGTCTACCCCGGAATAGCACTTGGGGCAGTGGATCACCCAACCCTGTGGCATCTAGCCCCTGGACCAAGCCTGCTGCCGTGAAGCCTGGCGTGGCTGTTGTGACTAGCAGCTCGGGCACACCGACCCCTGGCAAGAAGTCCATGCTCGACATCCAGCGCGAAGAGGAGGCACGCAAGCTCAAGGAGGCCAAGGAGCAGACGCCTCAGGCTGGCGTTTCTCAGGGTGCCTCCACTATGGGCAAGCGCTACGCCGACCTTGCCAGCAAGTCTGGCCCGCCTGGCATTGCGACGGCTGCTACAGCAGCAGCAGCTGTTGGTGCTGTGGCTGCTGCTCCCACCCCCGCTCTGATTGGCGGATGGTCTACTGTTGGTGCTGGAGGCAAGGTCAAGACTCCGGTCGGACCTCCTACGCGGTCGGCTAGCACGTCGACTGTCCGTGCTGCGGCGCCTCAGATTGTCCAGCAACAGGTCAAGCCTGCTGCATCTACCGTCACCAAGGCCAACTCGGTTGCTGACGCGCAGGCTGCACTGCAAAAGTGGTTCAAGGGAGAACTGTTGCGCGGACTCCGTAACCCATCCAAGGTGGACCTTGTTGCCAACAACATAAGTGAAATTGGCACCTTGGACAAGGAGATTGTGGAGCTTGTCCTCTACGAAGGCCTGTCATTTGACAGCGCCGTCGATCCCCGCCACCTTGCACAGGAGTACATTCGACGCAAGAAGCAAGCCGAGCAGGGCGTTTTCGAGCCCGTTCTCATCGCCGACCCCAAGGCCGGCGGCGGCTGGTCTGAAGTTGCGAAGAAGGGAGGCTCATCGAGCCAGCCCAAGGAAGCGGATGTTGTCGGTGCTGCTGGCTTCAAGGTCGTTCCCCGCAAGAAGGGCAAGAAATAGGCTCGTTCTGACAATATCAGTGTACTGTGGATGACCCATCCCCGTCTAGTCGTGTACCACTTGGCACAGGCCTTTTGAAAAGAATGTTCGTTCTGTAGTAGTCGCTTGCAAGCAGGTCAAGAGATGTGGTTCCACGAGGAATGAAGTGTTTTGGTGACTGGAAGCAATGCGTGTCTGGATCTGCTCATTATGGCTTGGAAGCCCTTAGCAACTGTCCTGTCTTGTGGATAGTTTGAGAGTACCCGAAGGCGAATATAGCGCAATAGTGTGGTACGCAACATCCTTTGAGAACCGAATGAATCCAAGCAATCTGTGCGTCTCATGTGATGAATCAGTTCTTGTGATGTTGTGTCCTGCTGGAGTCTGAAAAGAAAACCCTGGTGTTGGCCTTCTGAACCATCCAGAGTCTTGTAAGTGAAGGGCGTGCCGGTGGTGGACTGCTTATGTAATACTGGTCCTTGTTCGAAAAATTTCAGGCGGCCACTCGCATCAGTGGAGATGGGAGAGTCACTGGCCAGGCCAGACAAAAAAGTACGAACCTGCAAAAGGTTGGACACTCCCAAATCGTTGATCTCGGGCTCGGAAGTCAGCCTGCTCATGCTTGGCCGTCTTGACCGTGCGTGACGTGGAGTCTGTGTTTTTTAATCTTTCATTGTCGTGGAAACTTGCGGTTTCTCGGCTGCATTCTGCCGGCTCTGGCGATGGCATCAATCGACGTGGGGGTTGAGGCCTTCAACGCCTTTTTGCAAGCCAATGTCACTGGCCCCGTGCTCAGCCACGAGCAGACGCAACTGGCCAGGCCACACGAAGGCCAGGTCGACCTGACGCTGTCGTCGCTCGACGTAGACGGCGTCAGCCCTTACCCGTTCATCCCGCACATTGACCTCTTCTGCCTCGCCAAACACGCCATCGACAATGCCACCACGGAGTCGTGGGCAGCGAGCAGCAGCGCCAGCGTCAGTGGCATCAGCCTGCCCTGGATGCGGCTGCGGCTGCACGTATGGCACTACAAGCTCTTTATCCAGCCCAGTCTCAGCGCAGGCTCCATCTTCACCAAGAACATTGGCTTGAGCGAGGTGCCGAGCCTGGTGGAGAAGATCCAGGACAGCCTCCGCGAGGTTGAGAGCGATGTGCTCGGCGAGGCCTGGGAGGTCACGTCGTCGTCGTCATCGGAGCGCTGGCCCGCGCAGGACAAGGTGCGCTTCCTGGTGGAGAAGGCCAATGTGTGCATCATGCTTGGCCAGGATATCCAGGCGCGCAACGCAATGGACGCGGCGGCTGAGCTCAACGGATTCGTGTATGCTCTTTCTGGCGCGCTGGGCAAGAGGACGCGGTTCCAAGAAAAGAGCACCAGCCAGCTGGTTGTCCTCGCCAAGAGCGGAGTGGCAGCGACCACGGCAACGGACCAAGAACCGCACGAGGTTCCCGAGGCGCTACCACTCAACGACGACACACTGCTGGAGCAAATAGAGTATACGCAAGGCGATGGCCTGCACGGCGAGCTGAACAGCGACCCTGCGGCGCCGCAGGTGCCCGCTGCGCTGCAAGACCTGAAGCCCGACGCACAGCCGCAGCTCTCGCCGTTGGATCAAATCATTTTGCTCACGCAGGCTACGCTCAAGGACTCGTTCTCGCCCGTGGACACGCTGACCTCGGAGGAAATCATGCCGTTTGCCGTCCGCGTCATCAGCGACAAGTCGACAAACTGGCAAATCTACACGCAGGCACTGCTTGTGCGCTCCCGCATTGAGATGCACCGCAGCCGAACCGTGGAGAGAGGTGTCTTGCAGATGCAGGCTGTCGTCGACCAAGTCCTCGTCGACACGACCCAGAAGCTTGCCACCCACGACGCAGAGGACAACGACGCCCCAGCCAAGCCAGAAGGCCACAGCAGCGTGCCATCCATTTCTGTCTCGGTACCGCAAGCAGAAGCACCCGCTGCGCCCAAGCATGACAGAGAGGAGGCCGCACCGGTGGAGAACAAGCCGTATTCCTTCTTCCCTGCTGCCAAGTCGGAAGACTCTGCGCCCGCACCTGTGAGATTGGAATTCATCCACGCTCTCTCGTCGCCGCCGCGCTGGCATCTCGAGTCCGAGCTCGCGTATGCCTGGACTGGAGTCGGCTCTCTGGTCTCGGCGCTTGAGATCTTCAAGCGCCTCAAGCTGTGGGCCGAGGTCGCTCTCTGCCTGGCAAGCAGCGCTTCGACGGACAACGAAGACGGCAGTAACAGAGGCGGAGGGGGAGAAGACAAGGCGCGCGCCATCATCCGCTGGCGACTCTTCCACCGCAAACCCGAGGCCACCGCCAACGGCGCTCCCGTCCACGACCAAGACGACAATGAGCTTGACGAAGAGACAGACATCACCACACTCAGAGCCGACACCTTCACTGGCCCCGAGCGCTCGCCACCGCAGCCCAACGCCCCGCGCCTCTTCTGCATCCTCGGCGACATTGAGACGGACAGCGCAGTGGCCCACTACGAAACGGCCTGGCGCATCTCCAAGCAGCGGTATGCCCGCGCGCAAAAGTCCCTGGGCGAGCACTACCTCGCGCAAAAGGACTGGGTCAAGGCGCGCGAGGCTTACCAGCTCGCCGTCTCGGTCAACCGCCTGTCGCCGGAGATGTGGAGCCGATTGGGTGATATCAACCTGCGGCTCGGCGACTTTGCTGCTGCTGCTGAGGCATTCACGCGCGCGATCGGGTCGTCTAATGATTCCGCTGGTGGTGAAGACGCAAGAACGTGGAGCAATCTGGGAAGTGCGCTGTACAGCATGTACCAAGAAGCTATCGAGAAGGAAAGAAAGGGACACGACGAACAACAAGAAAGCACGCCACCGACCGTCGATGAAGACGAGGATGATGACATGGGCGCCACCAAGCCCACTCTCACCACCATCGCCAAGAACCCCTCCAACCTCCTTGCGCAGTCCCTCAACGCCTACAAGCGCGGCGCCTCCATCGCACACAGCAACTGGCGCATCTGGGACAACGTCATCACCCTCGCAACCCGCATGCGGCCCATGCCCTTCTTCGACATCATCCAAGCCGTGCGCGCCATCATCCGCGCGCGCAACACCGAAGACGCCATCGATATAGACATCCTGCACCTCTTGCTCAAACAGGGCGTCTTCCCCACGACGCAGAACAAGACCATCACCACATCAGGACCCTATGATCCCCCGCGCGGCAGCGTCGAGCGCAACGTCAACGACATGATGGAGAACGAGATTGTCCCGCTCATCACGGTCCGCTCGGAGCTGTGGGAGGTGCTCTCACAGCTGCGCGCGTGGCGACGCGATTGGTCTGGTGCGGTTGATGCTTCCGAGAAGGCATGGCGGGCAGCGGTGGGTGGTGCAACGTCTGGTGCTGGGTCACTGGGCGGCGGGCTGGCGGCGGCGGATGCTTCTGCTGCCAAGAAGAAGCGAGAAGGAGGCGAGGCCGAGGTAGTGAACAGGAACTGGCTGGAGGACAAGGAGGCATGGCAGGTTGTGGTGCAGCGTACCGTCGAGCTTGTAGCTGCGCTCAAGAGCTATGGGCCTCAGGTCGAGGACATTGGCGACAAGTGGAGGGGCAAGGCGAGAATGGCGATTCGGAGTGTGATGGGCAAGGGCAAGGAATCGTGGGAGGGCACCGAGGGCTGGGAGACGCTGCAGGGCTTGATCGAGGAGGTTCGAGCTTGAGCGTACTAGTATTGCAGGTCGCTCTGAAGAGCGATAGAAGGAAATGATATCTAAAGAATGGAAGTATCACTTGCAAGTTGCGTGCTGTGTCTCGATATCAAACCTCCTTCATCATGACTGCCCAAATCACTTGCAGCTGAGCCCATGGAATCTAACGGGATATATACTTTTGTACTTGACAATATTTCGTAAGGCAACATGGCCGAGCGGTCTAAGGCGCTACGTTCAGGTGATCATCCGTTGAAAACCCCATTCGTAGTCTGGTATCAGGCGTGAGTTCGAATCTCACTGTTGTCAATTCCTATTTTTTTCTCCGCTGGGAAATAGATGCATTGTTTTTCTTGCATCAATTAAATCAACATAGATTGCGAGATGCGCCGTGGTGTCTTCTGTGCCTTGGCTGGTGGTCGGGATGGCGATAGGATTTCGGCAGCTGAACGGTTGTCCGTCTTTGCTATAGTAACTGGTGCTGATCGTGCTGTCAATGGCATATGATTATGCCATTACTGGCCTCTGGGATGGCTGCTTGATGTTCTTCCTTTGGCTTTTCGTGTGTCGAGACTACTCGGCAAAAGCGCCGTTTGCCGCAAATGACTATATCTCACCCGCCTTCTCTGACAACGGATGTGCCTGGACAGCACGATTGCTCTTCCGTCCGGCTTTCTCGAAGCCGTAGGCCACGGCTACTGTTCTGTCTTATCATTGAGCATGCCCATTGTGTGATTCCGGCTACCAGTCTACTGGGCCTTAGCGCCGCCGCAGTTGATTATCATCAAGTCAAAGCCCGCGCTTAACACGCCCGACTTGGTCTCAGTGTAGCAGACACAACGTTGAAAGTTGAGAGTGTATCAATCATGCTCAAGTGTGGCATCTTGTTGCTTCCATAGAATTACCAAAGACACACGGGACTCAGACATGGTACCTGATATAGTCTCGAGGACTCGGAGCACCGACTCAATACACTCAAAGACTCAAAGGCCAAGGTGCCACATGCCAAGTAGCCCTCTGCCCAAATGAACGTGTAGTTTTTCCTTGACTCGACTGCCTTCACTTTGGCCCGCCATGCCGAAAATCCGTCGGTAGTTGGCCGGCGTGCTATCAGCATTAGCCTGCTCTCAAATCTGTCAGAGCAGCAGCAGCAGCAGCAGTGACTAGTGTGCCTCTTCGGAGCATTTTCCAAGGAACAACCATTAATGAAGATCTTTCGGAGGCTATCGTGAAATACACAATGAAAATTGAGGGAAATCAAAGGGGGGCTTGTCGCACGCGCGCCAGTCCACGCGGCGCGCGCTGGCCAACGGCGAGGTTTCGAAATCCAGCCTAGCGGCTTGGACTAGTTGTGCACAGATGCAGTTCTCCCCACGTGCGCCTTGACAGAGGCTGCCATGTGGTTCCCGTATTGATAGGGATGGTTGTTTGCTTTGGCATCAACTGTGGGTGTGTGCCTAGAGTTGTCAGACGGGCTGACGGGGTCCAAGAAGGGGGTCCTGATAGGATGAACAGGAAACTTGGCGGAGCCAGACCATGGACTGACAGTGGTCAAGCAGCCTCGAACGGGCTTGTGTCGATGGAAAACATAGGCAAGCAAGCTGATCAGGTACGGACCAAGCTAATAGCACTACTGTAGTGATGTTTGACTTCCTCCACCAAGATCCATCTGCACATGTCCGTGCTGGGAACTGGTCCGATTCAATATCGACTGCTGTCGGCAGGCTTGACGAGTCAAACAGCCAGTGCTGGCCACTTATCAATGCCGGTGGGCGTTTTGTCTTGCTGGAAACCTGTCTTGCTGGGTTTTTGTTTCGTTCCGCTCCGTTTCGTTTCTCTTCTTCTTTGGCTTGCCACTCTGTTGGCGACATGCCGACTGTTTTTTGACCTTTGATCACTCCTGACGCTGGCACAGTCGGGTTTGGTTCATCATATTTGTGCATCATGACGATATGGAGCTCAGACAACCTGGGCAGCCTGTCCCAGAAGATCTGCTGGGCTTTGTTTGGAACGACTGCCAGTGAGTTGCTTCGGTTTCTCTCATGTACATGCTATGTGCTTCGCGAAGAACCAGAGACTGACCAAGGATACCCACACAGTCACTGTTGGCTTGCGCATATACTGCCGTCTGCAGTACAGTCCTCGACATGGCGGCGGTCTCTTCATCGACGACCTGGCAACAGTGGGCTGTCTATTGGCGCTCCTGGTCTTCTGCGTCCTCCTCTCCGTGGCCGTCAGTTTCGGCTCAGGACAGCATTATGACACGTTATCGACCAGTGGCCGCATCGATGCGCTCAAGTGGAACACGATCCTGACAGCCGCGACGCCGTGGATCTGCACACTGCCCAAATTCGCCATCATCATGACACTCAGCCGCATCCTCACGTACGGCAAAAAGACAACCATGATGCTGTGGGGCCTCGCCATCAGCTGCCAGGTCTTTGTTGCCATCCTGTCCATCTGGGACTTTGCGCAGTGCCAGCCTGTGGCGGCGCAGTGGGATAGCAGCATTCTTGCCGGCGGAGGGCACTGTGCCAGCCCGAGCATCTACCTTGCGCTCTCGTGGGCCACGTACTCGTACTCGACTGCGCTCGACATCTTCTTCGCCTTGTTCCCTGTGCCGTTTGTGATGCGGCTCAAGATCCCCCTCAAGACGCGGATCGGGGTTGCTATATCACTGAGTATTAGTCTTGTTGGCTTTGCTATTTCCATATACAAGTTCACCATCTTGGACCGTGTGGGCGACTACTTTGCCACGGATCCTTCCTGTCAGTCTAGAGTCCTCCCCCCCCCCTCTCTCTCTGTCTTGCTATACCTCGGGATGGAGGATACTGATGATACGCCACAGTTCCCATGGTATATCTCTGCATGACCCACGCCGCAGAAGGCTCATTCCTCATCATGTCTACGTCCCTAGCAACGCTCCGTCCGCTCTACCGTGGTCTGAGGAAGCACGTCGTCAGCCGCGGCCTGCTCGACAGCACGCCGCTCAGCGACCAGTCGGGCTCGGGGTCGTCAGGCGCAGGACAGAGTCGAACCGGCGACAGTGCTGGACTTCCGCGCCACTGGACCATGGCATCGTCGCGGGCACCAGCCAGTAGTATATGCTGGACGAATTTCGAAGAAGAGGACGTGGAAGCACAGTTGGCTGTGGCAGTGCCCGTGGTGGTACTCACGCCAGCAAACGACGAGGAAAGGCTGATCCAGCCAGTGCCAACGAGTAAATTTAATAAGAAGCATAAGCACCAGGCAAGCAAGGAGTGTTTGGAAGTCAATATTGCGGATGAGAACGCTGCTAAACGGCGTACTGTCTAAAAGAAAGCGAGCATGGGTAATAATCAAACGACAAGATATATATATATATAAATAGCAAATGAGCGGGTCTTTTTCTTCTCTCCTACTTTCTGCCTCGAAACTCCCAAAATGACTGAGCGAAAAAAAAAAAAAAAAAAAAAAAAAAAAAAAAAAAAAAAAAAAAAAAAAAAAAAAAAAAAAAAAAAAAAAGGAAAAGGATAACACGGCAGAGGAGCATATGGAAATGTAGCTGTTGATTGAAAACATCCCCTGGGTTGGAAAGCCAAACAATACGCCAGGGATATATGCTGAAAAAAAGAAAAGAGAAAGAGAAAAAGAAAACGCATCCACACTTTTCCTCCTGAAAGAACAAAAATCAAGAAAAGCAAAACAAGGATTGTCTCTTGCTGCCATTGTCTTCTCCGTCATGAATCTCGAAAGTCATGTTAGCTTGCTTGCAAGCCACTGTTTGTGTATATGAGTCCCAGACTCTCGCTCATCACAAAGTGATTGCGTCAAGTTTCAACAGTCCAAAAGAGGGCCCAAGTCTACTCGGCGTCCGCCTCGACAGGCTCCTCAACGACCTCGTTCAACTGCTTCTCCGCTTCCACGGTCTTGTCCTCAAAGCCCGAGAAGGCCTCGGCCTCGTACGCACCAGACCGCTTGGCACGGACAGCCAGCTGCTCAACGATTGCCGAGCCCAGCTCCGCCCACTCGGTGCCCAGCACAGCGTCAAACTTCTTTTGGTGGCCAAAGCCGCACTGCGCGTGGCCGTCGGCAACAGCCGACGTGCGCAGACGCACCTCGCCGTAGGCGTGCGCCAAGCGCACAGGGCTCACATCGACACGCGCCGCGGCAGGAGGCGGCCACAGCTTGGCCTTGGTGAGGCCCATGATGGCAGAGCCCAGCTGCACCTGCTCGCAGTCCTCGCGGACCGAGTCGTCGCCGCCTGGCGCGTGGCAGTAGCTCACGGGCTCGGCGTCTGCCTCGGAGGCGGCATCGTCGCTGTTGCTCTGCGGGTCGAGAAGACGCAGCACAGGCCTGCTCACGGCGGAGATGATGCGCTCAAGGGCGCTGAGGCGCAGGGCCGCCAGCAGCTCGATGGCCTCGGCGGGCAAGGGCTGGGTGTGCCAGGGCTGGCCGCGCGAGTCGAGCAGAGCGCCATCGGCACCCAGAGAGGAAGCGTAGGCGCAGCTGGCAACGGAGCGAGCGACCAGGCGAGGCGAGCCGAGGATGCAGCCTGTCACGAGGGCCTCGTCGTGTGCTTGCTGGGCGTCGCTGTCCTGGACGCAGGCGAGCCAGTCCTTGACAAAGGGCGAGAGGAGGTGCAGGGTTTCGTACTTGTTGGCCGTGACGGCGATCTGGTGCAGCTCCGAGATGGAGACGAGGCTGGGAAGGTCTTGGAAGCGGTAGTGGGCAATGGAGAGGAGGACGTCCAGACCAAAGACGGGGTCGGCGGTCAAGTCGACAATGGTGGTGGTGGTCGTCTCTGAAGAGGCAATGCCGCTGCTCCACACACTCGAGGCACCGTCGAGGATGCCGGCGCGGACCGAGTAGATGGCTTCTTGGCCGGCGGCATCGTGAACCTTGATGTAGAGGTTGGCGTTGTTGTGGAAGGTCTTGGCCACCTCGACCTGGGGCTGCTGCGGCGTGCTGGTGTCGGCCTCGGCCTCGGCCTCTTGGATGATGGCAGCGTCCGCCAGCACCTCTCCGCTGGAACGCTCAGCAGTCTCGGAAGCAGCCTCGGCCTCGTCGTCGGCAGCGCAACCGCCAGGGGTATCAGGAGGCGTGGGAAGATCCTCGGCGGGCTTGGAGGCGGCTGCGTCGTCGCCCTGGGCGCTGGCGGCGGCGACCTGTGCCAGATCGCTGATGCTGCGGGTTGTGTCTGTGCGCTTCAGGTCGAAAGCGTCTTGCACGGGGCCCAGCGTGGGGGTTGTGGGCGTCGAGCTGGTGCTGTCCTGTTCTGTCTTGGACGAGGAGGACGATCTGGTGGAGGCGCACGTGTTAGTCTCGCA